ATGCAGTCGAGTCGGAGCACCGCGAGTTCCGTCGCTTCCGGGTGTTCGGCCTCGCTCGCCACTCTAATCTTGGCAAAGCTGTCGAGTCGCGCCTTCTTGCGCTTAAGGTCTGCGGCATCACGATCGTCGTCTATTAGCTGCGCGAGCGCTTCGTCGGCAGACAACTCGAGCGAACCTTCGCTGTCTACGTCGTCTAGTGGCAGACCCAGCAGCGCGGAGACGTCCTCCAAAGCGCTCGCGGCGGACTGGCGCGAGCTGGCGCGCATGTCAGCGCCCGCGTCTGCGCTCTCGAGCGCGTTGTCGGCGTCGCTGCCAGCGTCGCTCGCATTGTCACTGTCCGCGCCGCTGTCCGCGCCGCTGTCCGCGTCGCTGTCTGCATTGCGTTCTGCGCAGTCGTTGGCGTCGGACTGCGATTTATCTGCGTCAGAGTTCTCGTCGCTATCTGCCAGCGTGCCGGACTGCAGGTCGTATCGCACGAGCAGCGGCCCGCCCGCGGCGAGCCGCAGCAGTTCGCTAAAGTCTTGCGGTTTTGCGAGCTTGCTAAGCTCCAGCAACGCAAGCTTACAGCAGCGACGGAACAGTCCGACGCAGTTCGCGCAGCGTTCGCGAATTTGCTGAATTCGCTCAATCGTCTCGACGGAGTATGTGCTGACTGTTTGCTTCGTGAGCAACGGCATGTTCAAGCGAAACGCAAGCGGCCTTAAGTAGGATGCGCTCGCGCGTGGATCGGACAGCGCGAACTCTGCGGCCGCAGCGTCGAGCGCGGCGCAAAGCTGCGCTTCCAAGTCAGCCTGCGCTCCGGAGTTGCTGCGCGCTTCGCAGCTGTGCCGCACCGCGGTCTTAGCGAGCGCGGCAACCAGTTGTATACTCGCGACGCAAAAGGCGTAGTTCTCCGGCGAGAACTCTTTGGAGGACTGCTCCGCGTGCGGAGCGAACTCGAGCGAAAGCTTCTGCTGCGCGGCCAGCTTGCGCAGAAGCGCGCAATCCCGTTGCTGCAGCGCGAGCCGCACTGCTTTGCAGACGGCCGTGAAGTCAGAGGCGTCGCGCAGCAGCGCGGCAACTTCGTCGACCGCTAGCGACTGTGTTACTGGCTGCCGCCCGAAGAGCAGGCGCGCGAGTTGCGGCGCGTCACTCGCGACGGCTTCTGCAAACGGCTCGAGTACGTCAGCCGCAACGGGCGCATAGGCTACGAACTGCGGCGCTGCGAGCCGCGCTCTAAAGCGGACAAAATGTGTGATGGCGCGGAAGAGCTGCAGCGGCGAGAATAGCGCGTGCTTGCCGCCGGCCTTTAGCTCCGGCGCAGCTGCAAACGCGAGCGTCTCGGAAGCGATGTGAGCGCCTGCGCGCGGGAACGCGCAGTGGAACGCGGCAGAGAGCAAGTGCGCCGGCGCGCTTTCAGCGAGCTCGCCAGCCGCAGCCAGCAGCGCTGCGAAGCTGCGATCGCCGCGGCTGCGCAGCAGGTCGCTGAGCGCTCGCGAGACTGACTCCTCGCTCCAGGCAGCAAAGGCCGCGGGCGGCTCACTGCTGATTTCGACGCCGAAGCCGACGAGTTTGAGCGTCAGCGCGAAGCGCAGCATGCAGTAGACTGCGGCATTGCGGCGCGCGCCAGGCGCCGAGCCAGCGGCAGCGTTGCAAAGCCCCGCAGCGAAGTCGGCGACCAGGTTTTTGTGAAAGAGCGCTTCTGCAGCAAACAGAGTGAGAAACAGATTCGTGAGCAGCAACAACTGGTCGCCGCCCGAGGCGCCTGCGAGCGTGACGGCGTAGCACGCGCGGTAGAAGGCGCCGCTTTGCAGCG